CCACTCCCCCTGCTTGTGTGCTCTCTCTCTCTCTGTCAAGTAAATAAATAAAATCTTTCAAAAAAAAAAAAAGTACCCCTGGAGTCTGGAGCTCTCGGAGGACCACATTCACTGCGGGCTACGACAGTGGATGCCACACACACTGATCACGGGAGAACACGGGCAGGGACCGCATGGCCGGACTCAGTCCATGCCAGGGGCCGTTGCTGCCGCCACTGTCCAGGGGCAGCTCTGGGCCAGCTGCTGGCCACACGCAGGGCTGGGGCATGACCACAACCTAGCCCTGCCTGGAAGGAGCCCCGTCCAGGGAAAGAAAAGGGGCATTAACACTTGTGAGCCAAAAAAAAAACACTTGTGAGCCCCTGCCAGGTGCCGGGCAAGGTCCCAGGTGTCCGCCTTCCACGCGTTACCCTGTCGTCCCCCCTTAGGGCTCAGCGTCATCTGAGAGATGGGCAGCGTGGGAGTGGAGGCAGAGGGAAGGAGCTGCTCGGAGCCCCTCGGACCCACAGCGCCGCCGAGCTGCTCTCAGACCCCGGTCTGGGCGGATGCAAAGCCTGCGTGCCGTGCAGGACCCCGGGCTCCGGCCGGCACTCAAAGTAGCCCGTCTCTTTCCAGACCCGTGTTCGGAACGGCAGCGTCCAAGTATTTAAAGTGGAAAAGGCGAAAGACGAACAGGGGCGGTACAGAGACGCCTTAGGGCAGTGAAACGATTTTACTGTGTGACCCATGATGGTGGACACGTGTCAGACATTTATCGAAACCATAGAGAGTATGACACAAAGAGTGAGCCCTAGTGTAAACTGTGGACTTGAGTCGATACTAACCTATCCGTGTTGCCTCATCGATTCTAACAGAGGTGCCCCACCAATGCACGGTGTCGACAGTGGGGGAAACTGAGGCGGGGGAGCGTCTATGGGAACTCTTTGTACTTTCTGCTCGGTTGTTCTGTAAACTTAAAACCACTCTATGTGGTAAAATCTATTAACTGCTTTTTAAGTGGTAAAGGGGATGGTGTGCTTGCGTCACAAATTTATTGGGGGGTTCCCAGACTCACACACCCGTTCCCTTCCCCTTCCTGAGCATCCGCCGGGGCTGTGGGCCCCCGAGGCCCCTGCATAGCAGCTGCTTCACCGCAGAGCCTTGCGGAGGACGTGCTGTGGCTATCTGCGATCAGGAAGGCTGTGTTCGCATCCTAGTGCCTCTGTGTCTCAGTTTCTCTACGGATGCATGGCTCCCCTCTGCTGGTGGAGCTGCAGGGAGGCTCAGTTAAGGCAGGCAAAGGCCCAGGAATGCGGGGGAGGCTAGGAAGTCTAGTAAATAAAGCAAAGAAGAACCGTCTGTGGTTCAATGGACGTAAAAGACCCATCCTGCTGTGTACACAGAAGAACAGGGAATCCAAAGGGCATTTCTAAACCTCCAAGGGAGTGAGCCACAGGATATTTCTCCTTGCTGTTTGACCAATAGGATTCAACGCCCCGAGGGCACTCCTAACTGTGGGGCATGGAGCTCCCCGACCCCCAGGCCTCGCTGAGTCATCTGCCAAATGGTCACTCGGTGCTGGCCTCACAGAGCTGCGTGGGAATGAGATGAGGCGATCCAGGAGAAATGTCTGGTAGAGGCCGGCACCCCCGAGTGTAACTTTCCTCCCCTCTCGCTAACAGTTTTGCTTTAAGCACAATGAACAGGCAGCATTCCAGGTCGGGAATGGGAAGGGCTGGGTGTTCTGGAAATTTCCTTCGCCTCCACCAGCAGCAGGAATGAGTTTGCCTTCCCAGAAGCACAAAAATTCTCAGTAAGATTACATGCCATGAAACCATCAGGCATGGGTAACATATGGAAATTCGCTCTCCTCTGGAAAGGCTCAGAGCCAAGGAGTCGGCCATGTCTGTGGAAAGCTCCACTTGACCACGTTCAACAGGACAAGGTTTGAATTTCACCCGCCTCTTCAGAGATGGGAGCTACGGACTTATCAAATCATCAGTCGTGTGTTTGAAAAGAGGAAAGAAAACCCAGGCAGAGTTTTTAGTGCTCTGACAGCTGACCCTGCTCCCTCTGAAGGAAAAATCTGAAATCTGTTGATCATCCACATTTCCCTCATTGGCATCTGGTCATATTTTGCCTTAATTTGGTGCCCACTTTGTGGTTGTTGTGCAGGCCTAGAATCTTCTTCATGGTACTCAAGGGCTCATGCCACAGGGTGCACCCAGCCCTCCAAAGTTTCTGCCCATGCTGGATGCCTACCCACTCATCCACATTCTAGATAACTCCATCATTCTCACCATGCTACGTTCCACCTGCCCATCCTGACTTAGCAAGAAAGGCATTTGGGTCTTAAATGAGATCCTTAGAGAGCAGAGATGAAGTTCAGTGCCTCCCTGGAGGGCCCACTGTATTTTCTAAAGCCCTTTCACATGTAAAACCTCACTAGAGCCTCATGTAACTGTGGATGTTGGGTAAAATTATTCCCATTTTACAGAGGAGAATACTGAGACTCAGAAGTGAAGAGTTTTAGCCAGGGTCACACGGACAATGAATGGCAGAGCTGGCCCTTGGTTCTTCAGATTCCCAGACCTGTGTGTCTACCCCCGGCCACGGCTGTTTGACAAGTGCCCCACCACGGGGAGAGCTGGACATGGAGGAAAAGATGCACATGGAGGACGATGGGGCTGTCCTCCATGGGTGCTAGTGGGGAAGGTGGAGGATGGAACCAGGGTGACAAACAGTTCTATGACTGGATAGGGGACAGGCCAGCGTTCACAAGCATGGCCAGCATTAAAGAGGAAACAGGAAACATCACTGATGCAGCCCTTATGTGGAGTCAAATGGCGTCCCTGTGGGCCCAGGACTATAATCCATTCCTATCGTTCTCTAGAGCAAGTCAACCCCTGTGGTGAATCCTGGCTCTGCTCTTTCCTAACTATTGATGTTAGCAGTGTCTAACCTTCTGGGGCCTCAAAATACACACACACACACACACGATACAACACATAATGTACTTAGAATAGCTTCAGCACCTAGTAAGATCAACCAATGGCAACTATTACTCTCATGTATGGGCGTCAGGATCGCTGGAGGGTCTCATAGTTGTGTGGGACATTCCCGAGTGCTCAGCTGGGCTGGAGGAGAGCTGGGGGGCCATGAAGGGATGGGGCTTTGGGAAGAAGGGGTTGAACACACAGAGTGGCCCTCAGCTCAGGGGATCGGCAATCCCCAGCCATGCCAGCGACTTACCAGAACTCAGAAAGCCGAAGACACCCACTCGGTAGCCAGCAGTGACCACAATGAGGTTGCCAATAGCAGCCAGGAAGGAGCCGTCAATGGCCAGCTGTCCGTCAGTCCCCCTCCCCTCCATGGTGTTGTGGAAGAACACCAGCACAGACGCGTTGGGGGCCTGTGGGGAGTGGAGAAATATGAGGCTATAGGTTGGCCCATTCTCACCCACCAGAGCTTGCTGAGGACACCTTTCCCAAGAAGGTGCCAGATTCTGAGCCTACCCATGACTCTTCCTGTCAACTCCATCACGTAGCACGCTTAGTCCCATGTCACAGGCTGAACTGTGTCCCCCTAAAATTCAGGGGTTGAATCCCTAACTCTATGACCTCAGAATGTTACCATATTTGGAGAGGGTCCTATAAGGAAGTGATTAAGCTAGTGGGCCCTCATCCCATATGACTGGTATCCTCAGAAGAAGGGGAGATTTGGATGGAGACACACACAGAGGGATACCATGTGGACACAGAGGGAGGAGGAGATGACCATCCGTGGGCCACAGAGAGTAGCCTCCAAAGGAACCAACCCCACTGACACCTGGATCTTAGACATCTGGCCTTCAGAATGTTGAAAAAATGCCTTTCTGTTGTTTACGCCTCCTGGTCAGTGGTGCTCTATCAGAGTAGCCCTAGCATGCTAATAAGCCTGGTGTCACAGATAAGGGGAAGCTGGGGGTCATGAAAAGTGGATGCTTTGCTCACATTGCAAAGTGAGCAGGGGGCAGAAAGGGCAGCCCACTGCAGACCTGCAGCCCATCGCTTGGAGCTAAGCAGTCTTCTAACACCCCAGCTCTGCCCCATAGGGAGATGGCTCTAATGACTGAAAGCACTTCCATTTTGCAGGTGTGAACACAGGCTCAGGGTGGTGAAGTGACTTTTTAAAACATGTACAGAGAGGAAGGGGCTGACCCAGAATTCCAACCTCAGCCCCCTCCCAGCACACTCTCCTGGGCTCTTCTGTCCGTGACACTGCATCTTTCAGGTGAGTGACGAGTAGCTCTATATTACCAGGATGGGTTTCAGGCAGCATGGCCAAACTGAAAGGACTCACCAAGGAGGATACAAACAGTCTTCCAGAATAAACTAGGGGCCGGAACTGGGGTGTTGGGGACTACATAGCTCCAAGTGATGGGCTCCAGGTCTGCAGTCACTTCCAGGTGGAATGACCCTCATTCCTTTACGTGTGGTCTCTGTCCCACTCACGGTCATTTCCAATGTCCCCCATTGGTCACCTATCGACTCATTAGTCTCCATGCAGTGTTTTATTTAATTCCTGCATGAACTTTATGAGCCAGGATGCTATTTCTCTCCCACTTTCAGAACCAGTAACTGAAGCACATAGAACATGGTTACCTTCTCTAGACCAGTGAGGCAGTGGTCAGTGGCAGACTCGTTGGGAGCCAGATCTTAATCCAGTATCACAAGGAAGGGGTGACCAGTGCTGGGCAGAGGGGACCCATTGTCTCCCTCACTCTGGTCTCCCTGCTCATAGTAACACAATCTATGAGAGCTTTCACATCTGGGGGGCCTCGTGACAAAGCTCAGTCAGACCAGCCTGCTGAGGTCACACATCTAAAGTGCAGTCGACTCTTGCTGCTAGTAGACCAGGGACCAGGAAGCTGTGGCACGGTCTGGGGTACCATGGCATCTATCAACACCAGGTTGGCATCCCCAGAAACTCACATTTCCTAAAACTCATCAGTGGCTTTTTATTTTGTGCCCTCTGATCCTTCCCCACAAATAGGAAACTCAAACATGGAGTATCAGGCTCATGGCTGCTACTTAGGCAGATCTGGGCTCCAAAACAGGGCATAATCCTGTCTGGGTCACAGCCCCAAACCTCACCCTACAGAACTGCCCCAAACAAGAGTCCACGTGGAAACACCCCCAGGGGTCGCTCCTCGGGTCTTCCAAGGACAGCAGCTGGTTGGTTTTCTCCTTGGCAGATGAACCACAGTCAGGCTCTGTCCTCTCCTCCCTGTGGTTCTCTCACCCTCTCAGAGACCCTACATCGCTAACCCCCCTCCCCCACTGCCTGGCTCACACCTCCCTCCCCGCCACGCCGCTCAGGCAGCACCCCCTGACTGCCACCCAACACCTCCCGTCACTGTGTCCCTTCCTCTGTATTTCTCCTCAGAGTCTCATCAACACCACCGTTGTTCAATACTCACGTGCGTCTCTGTTTCTGCCCTGCCCACTAAAATGTAAATCCTGAGGGCAACAACTCTGTTTTAGGCACCTCTCTGTCCCACCCAGAGCGGTGTCCCCCAACACAGGCCCTTTAGGAACTGAACTGGGACAACCGTGCCCCATTTGCCATGGGGGTGGCCTGAGGATGTGGGCAGGAACAGGTGAGGCCGGGTGGGCACCAGGAGGGCCCTCTGCTTCCTCTTGGCCACACAGGCTTTCAGGAAGCCAAGTACTGCCAAGGACAGTGCTGGGGGCGCAGAACCTGAGCAGGCCACGGAGGGGAGGGGTGGATGATTCTGGCAGCTGTGGGGACAGACGGTGTCTAATGGGGCAGTTTTCAGGGCAGACAATCAAGGGCTTCAGAACTCACCACGTTCTGAGGCACAAACATGTTAAGATACAAGCAGTCTTCGCTGACTCCGGGAGACACGGGCGCCGTGGTGCCTGGCTGCCAGCAGCTGGCCCTGGGGATGCGGACAGCATGACTTCCAGGTAGACAAGCAGCAATACACGCCTCATCTTCCCTCCTTGCCCACCACCATCGGCCAGAACCCACCGCCCCGTCCGAAGCCCCGATGGCTACCAGCTCTGCAGCAATTAGGCAGCTTCGGGACATGGGAAAAGGGAGTGACAAGCACAGGGAGGAAACGGCAGGATGCCCACCACTCTCTCTGCCGTGGGTTGCGGAGGAACACCTCAAGGGACAAGCTGCCAACTCGCAAAGGATGCCCAAGATAGAGATGGGGGACGTGGGTGTTGCTCGCGACCTTGGCCCTCCCTTGCTGCAAGTGTGCAGACCTGTGGCCGGATGTGGAGCCTGAGCTGCTTTCTGCATCAGGACAGGGTCCAAGCGTGCCAGGCTCAGCAACCCCGGGGCACGAGAGCGGAGACCTTGTCTGGAATACGCCCAACGGCGCCTGATGGGACCCGCCCCACAGGTGATTTCACGCATCCCCCAACGTCCTTTGTGCTGGACTCTGAGAAGGCCAGCCTCCCCTGTCACGTGGCTCCATGCTGACGTGGGGAAGCACTCAGATTAGTGCACGTTTATTCCTTTTGTGTCTCCATGGTGGAGACTTAGCACCGTGGCTGTCCACACCTTGCCGCCATGGCCCAAGTTCAAGCCCTCAATGTCCTTGCCTGGAGCATTCAAGAGTTCCCAGCCCTTCACTCTTTCTGGCCCTGGCCTGGGGACCTCCCCACCAGCCAGGCATGGGTGACAAGGGACAGCACAGGTGTAGCGGCCTCAGGACAGGGCTACAGGGGTCTGTGGGAAGGTGGGGAGCGGAGACAGGAGAACGGTGCTCTTTTCATGGGTGCTCTGAACACAAGTTGGTGAGAAAAACGACAATATCTCCAACGTGTCAACTGGTTAAAGTGCTGTATGTATGGGAGGGGACAGGTGAGACTGAACATGGTTGATGAGGGAGGAAGAGAGGATTGAATTTTTTTTTCCCTTTTTTAAAACTCTTTTTCATATTGTTCCTACTGGGGAAAAAGTCCTTTTAAAATAATGTCTTTCATGGGCGCCTGTGTGGCTCAGTCGTTAAGCATCTGCCTTCGGCTCAGGTCATGATCTCAGGGTCCTGGGATGAGCCCAGAATCGGGCTCCCTGCTCAGTGGGGAGCCTGCTTCTCCCTCTCCCTCTGCCCCTCCCCCTGCTCTCTCTCTCAAATAAATAAATAAAATCTTTTTAAAATAAATAAATAAAATGTTTTTCAGGAGCTCATGTGCTTCTCCCTCCCTGGAGTGGATTTCTCAGCCCCACTGAACTCAGTTGCGGCCAGGAGGCTGCTTTCCAGCTACCGCCAAACTGACGCAGGTCACCGATGCACCCCAGCCCCCTGCAGCCCTGGCCCATGGAAATCTCCCATGAAGACCCTTCCAAAGCCTCTCTTTCCTGGATGCAAAGTCAAGGAATGTTCATGCTGAGGAAGGCAGAGCCTCCATAGCCTGGGTCCCTGAATCACTGCAGGGAGCAGAACATGCCGGCCCCTCCATCACCACATGCACTTTGCAGGAGCAAGATAATGATATTTGGAGGGTTTATCTGTAAGAGCACTTAATGCCCCCTTGATTACTGCCCACCCCCATTCACCCACCCCCACTTGACACTGCCCAACTCCATTCACCTCTCCAACTGGAATGCACTGCTCTGCTACCAAGTCTCACTCAGTTGGATTTGAATGGGAGAGGCATTCCCTGGGCATTCACCAAGAGGTGTTCCACTAGATCCTCACCGTGGCTTGGTGGCGTCCCAGGACCCTGTCCAGTTCAAGGGCTCGGGTGCCTGGAAGCGGCTCTCTGCCAGGGGCGGGGCGGCATACGGAACTCCCAGGAACTGATCCACTTGCTTCCACGAAGTGCCCACCTGGATGGCCTGGGACCTGCCCAGCAGCCGGCCGTGGGGGGCAATGGTCACAGAAGGTGCTGGTGTCCCAAAGCTGAGCAGAGGGATGTCTGTGGGGAGGGGGGTGTGAGGGGAAGAGACAACAGTGGGTGCTCTATTCAAACAAAACACTGCTTTTCACACTTTAAAAATGCCAGTAGTTCAGGGCGCCTGGGTGGCTCAGTTGGTTAAGCGACTGCCTTCGGCTCAGGTCATGATCCTGGAGTCCCTGGATCAAGTCCCGCATCAGGCTCCCTGCTCGGCAGGGAGTCTGCTTCTCCCTCTGACCCTCCCCCCTCTCATGTGCTCTCTCTCATTCTCTCTCAAATAAATAAATAAAATCTTTAAAAAAAAAAAAAAATGCCAGTAGTTCATTCAGACCCCAGTAGTCCGAGCCTAGCCAGGTTACTTTTCAATGTGAAAAAATAATAGTAATAATAATAGCAAATACAGCTGATGTTTACCAGGCACTGAATGTCTGCAGAGCATGACACCGAACCCTTCTCTATGATTCTTCCCACCCAGAGGCTACGCAGAGCCTAACTCAGCCCTGCAACCCCTTACTCAGCACAAGGGGGCCAGGCGTGAGCTGTCATTTAGAAGTACTTGGATTTTTAAAACAACAGAGGGACACAGAGAGTACAATGCTCAGCCAATCCCCCCAGAGGGGTCTGGAGTCAGGCCCCACCGTCAAACACATCGGTGACTTCTGGGGTGCAAGGTATAAATCACTCATACTAACAGGGATGGATAAAGAATATGATTTCTTTAGTCCCTTGAGGCCAGATGGTGCCACCAAATAAATTTGCCACAAACTCACGAAAAATTTTTTTTCTAACTTTTAGAACTCTGGGATTTCAGAATTGCCGAGGAGAAACTGTGGGCCCTTATTTGCATCTCGGTGGTAAGAAAACAGAGGGAGGGTCCAAGGGTGGGTAGCTGCCAAGACTTGAAGGTGTAGGATTCAAAGGGTTTCTGGACCCCGATGGCGACCACAGCCCGTTCACACGGGTCAAGGGCCAGCTCGGGGCCCCTCTCCAGGCCACTGCCCCTGCCCCCTGCCTGCAACACCCCCTCTCCCCCTCCTTCATGGCCCCAGATTCCATCTGGCCTGTCAGGTCCAAGCCTGCGCCACCTACCACCCTGCCCTTGCTGCTTGGCCTCCAAAGCCTTAAGCCCCCACCTTGTTATGCTAATCACCGCACTCCCATCAGCCTCTCTCCCGCAGCTTCTTATCTCCTCAACCACATTTTCTCCCATTCAGTGATTGAGTCAATCAACTTTTGTTGGGACCCTGGCTCCATGCCCAATACCATTTTCAGGGACTTGGAACCGGCCTGTGTCTGATTCCCCCACAGGGCTCAGGGCCTGGCACAAAGGAAACACTGAATGCTGGTGAAGAGATGTTCTCTCTCTCAAGCTCCCTCTCTCTCTCTTTGCCTGTGTGTGTGAGAGAGAGAGGGAGAGAGGGGGAAATCGCTTTTCATTTCCCGCAGGTGTGTTTGGTTTGCTCGGCTCTGCGGTTGGCTGTGAGCTTCGCTGCTAGCCTGCAGCTCCGTCTACACCCTCCTCTATCTGCGAGGACAAACGAGGAGCACAGAAGAGGAGACAGACAGGCAGAAGTCTGCCCATTCCTCAAGCTGGGTACAATGCAGTGGCTCAGCTGAAGGTGATTTCGTCCCCAGGGGACATTTGATAACATCCGGAGACCGTTTCGGTTGTCACCAGGGTCTGTGAGGGATGCTGGTTACTGACATCTAGTGAGTAGAGGCCAGGGATGCTGCTAAACACCCTGCAATAAATACGACAGCCCCCACAGCAAAGAACCATCCTGCCCCGGCTGTCAACGGTGTGAGGCTTGAGAACCCCTGGGATGGTGTGCGTTCATGACTCCCGGGCCACCGAGGAGCATCGTGGGGAGGAACCGATGCATGGTGCTGGAAGCAGACCTGTGTTTTAGGTTATATGCACCAGCTACTTTGGGGAAACTTCCTAATTCTTCTGATGCTCAATTTCCCCCTGAGAAAGAGGAATGATAGCAGCCCCTACAACACAAGGATGTTGGGGATAAGTACATGGTGCCTGTGGTGCTCCGAGCCCAGTGCCTGCAAGGGGCTGGGGCTCTACACATGAGTAAGTGAATGAATTGGAGGGAAGGAGGGAGGGAGGAATGGTGGGAGGGAGCAGGAGAGAGGAAAGGAAGGAAGGAAGGAAGGAAGGAAGGAAGGAAGGAAGGAAGGAAGAAGAAAGAGAAAGAAGAACAAACGAAAGAAAGAAAGAAAGAGAAAGAAAGAAAGAAGGAAGGAAGAGAGAAACAAAGGAAGGAAGGAAGCAAGCAAGCAAGCAGGAGGGAAGGAGGGAGGGAGGGAAGGAGGGAGGAAAGGAAAGTTGGAAATAGTGATAAAACTCTCTCTTGCAAAAACCCTGCAGTGCTAGTCTGAACCCAGCGTGGAAAGAAAGGGTTGCACGTTCTAATCTGGTCTCAGTCACCAGTCACGGCTGGTCTCAGCCCACAGCTCCTCCTCACAAGCTTTCCTGCTTCAGTGGTAAATCACAGGACCTCAGGCAAATATTCAGGATTGCGGGTGCTAATATAGCAGAACCTTCAGACTCTGTCTCCCTGCTGGCCTTTTCCTCCGCAGGAAAACAGCCACGTTTCGTGAACGTGGCACCCTCTGAAGGAGGGAGCAAAGACACAAAATACAAAAGCTAAAGAATTTCGAGAGAATGCAAGCCAGCTTTCCCACAGACAGTGGAACTCAGCCCTCCCTCCAGAGGCCGCCCAATGAATCCCAGACTGAATGAGATCCAACATGGGGAAAATGTTAGATGTGCAGTTCTCTCTTTTGAACTGTTTTCCAGAAAATAGTGGATTCTTTCTAGAATAGCCCCATATTGAGGCCACAGGACTCCTTAGGTGAAAAAAATTATCCAGAGCTGTGTGTGTGCTCAAGGTGCAGACAGTGTCTGGGTACATACACACGGCCATGCGTCTTCAGCTGGAGGTGAGCCTTTCACATTGAACTTGAGTTACACAGAATTAATGAACAGTCTAATTTGTTTTATAGGACCTAAACCCCAAAGCGAGGCATCCCTCCTCAAAAGGATAACTATGCAGATTAGCTAGACTATGGGTGAAATATACTATTGAAATCTAACTTGACTAAGGACTATGAATGTCTAGGTAGAAGACAAGACTTGAGATTGTAGGCCCGAGACCACAGCCTACAGGAATCAAAGCACTCCCAGGCCTGGGGAGCACGCTCATGGTCTGAAGCCTGAGGCGGAGAAAGGGGCAGAAGAGGAGGATACCACTGGATCAAGACATGCCTGCAGACCACCAGCACTCTAAGGCAGGGTGGGACCAAATCTGGCTGCTGCCTGGTTTTCTAAAGAAAGTCAACCACACCCATTTTTTTGTATTTTCTGTGGCTGCTTTCTTGCTAAAGTGGCCGAGTTGAGTCGTTAGATGCATAGAGCCTAAAATATTTATCTGGCTCTTTACAGAGAAAGTTAGCCAACCTCTGCCCTAGAAGATAAGACGGCAGAAATAGGCAACGTTTTAAAAAGTCATTAATTTCATGCCATGAGCATGTCTAATGGGGGAAGGGCTTCCCCCGGCCTCCAGCTCCCATGTCTCCCATTATACAGGTCTTACCTATTTCACTTAGTGATGGACTTCTGTGATTTCTTAGATTGCTATGTTTTCTCCCCTTGCTGGCTTCCTCCCTGAATCCCAGCACCTAACACAACATCTGACACATAGCAATACCTTACTGAATGCTTTCTTTTTTTTTTTTTTAAGATTTTATTTATTTATTTGAGAGAGAGAGAATTAGAGACAGAGAGTATGAGAGGGAGGAGGGTCAGAGGGAGAAGCAGACTCCCTGCCGAGCAGGGAGCCCGATGCGGGGCTCAATCCCAGGACCTGGAGATCATGACCTGAGCCGAAGGCAGTCGCTTAACCAACTGAGCCACCCAGGCGCCCCTTACTGAATGCTTTCAAATGAAACTGAGCCACGAGAGCTCTCCTCTCCACAGTGACCGTGATACGGTTGCTAGATGATGTGGTTTTGTGCAAGCAGATTGTATCTAGAGATAGGAGACCTGGCTCCAAGCTCCCATTCTATCATCACTAGCTGGGAGAAATCAGAGAAGTAACTTCTCTGGGCCAGAGTCTCTTGATCTCTAAGATGGGGATAAAACCCTTATCTTCCCACCTCACAGGATTTGTGTGAGGACCATTTGAGATAAGGCATGTGACAGAACTTGCTAAACTATAAAATGTCAACAAAAAATGGCCTATTTAGTTATTTTACTAAGAAACTCAAAGACCAAATGGCTTCCATAACTCAAATAAATGAATAAAGGTGGTGCAGAGAAGCTCTAGCTTAGAAGTAGGATCTTCACCTTCCTTTAGTCCCTCCCAAATGAATGCCTCCTAGCCCAAGGTAACTTTGGCCAATTTTTCCTAAAGAACCTCAAAAGCCACTGCCCACAAGTCACCACACACTCAAACAGTCCCTCCCAGCTATACCCAGGCTCTCCAAAAGAACCACTAAAGCACAGGCTGGGACTCACTCAGCTTCCGGTAGATGTGGGTGGCCTCCTCACGGAGCAGAAGTCGGCAGTTCTGGGCCTGCAGGCTGTGTGTGCAGATCTGGGCATCAGCATAGAATACACACCTCACAGCACCAGGTCGGGTCTGCAGAGTGGTGACGAGGCAGGCCTGGTGACGGGAGCATTCTACAGAATAAGAGGAGAGTGAGGCTTGGGCTTCAGAGATGGCATCTCAGCCATGCATCCATCCCATCATGAATCCTTGAATCCATGCATCACCTATTCATCCGTCAGTCCACCCATTCATCCAGTCATGCACCTATGAATCCATGCACCTATCAATCTATCCATCTAATCATGTATCAGTGCATCCATCCATCCATCCAATTATGCATTCTTCCATCTATATACCCAGGCATCCATGGAGAAGGATGTCTCCATCCATCTATTTATCCATTCACCCATCCGTCTATCCATCCATCCATCCATTTATCCATCCATGCATCAATCTATACAACCATGCATCCATCTATCCATCCATGCATTCATCTATCCACACATGCACCCATCCATCTATGCAATCACTTACTTATTCACTGGAGCACCTACAATACATCCCTGGCACTGTGGCAGGGGCTGGAACTAGAATTGGGGTTGGGGGGAACCTACCTCTCCCATCAATCTATTTTCCACACAAAAATCGGGTTTTTGATAGTTTATTTAATTCACAAATGTGCTCTTGACATTCCCTTGTTTGAAGCAACTCCATGGCTCCCCATTGGCCTTAGGATTAAGTCATACCAGACAAGGCTCTCCATGCTCCAGCCCTTGCCTTCTTATTCAGCCTCATCTCCCTTTCCAGCTCCCCCATCATACCCACTATTTTCCACCAGGGATTATATACTTTCCCATGTGTGCCAGGTCCTGCATTAGATAATTTAAATTATTCATGGCATTCAGGATTTTCAGTCCTAAGAACGGCTGTGAAGATGGTGTTGACTCAGTCACTTGGGCAAGCTGTGAACTGTGTAAAGACCTTATTCATAGCCCAGTCTGTGCTATGGCAGCACCCAGAGTTGTGCAGTGCCCAACCTGTACATCCATACATGCCTCTTCTGTAAGATGTGCATATTGTTATCCAACCTTGTAGGTGAGGTGATTCATGGAATCAAAGAATTGGAGGAATATGAATGTTATCCAATCTCAGGCTCTTGCAGAGGTTAAAATCTTTGTAGACCATCTCTATCAAGTTGTTATCTAACTTTTGTTTAAATACCAGTGACCGGAAACCCTCTGAAAGAAGTATGCATCTGTGGACAGATTTGTCTATTAGAAACTTCTTTATATTGCATTGAAAAATGTCTCTTGAAATTTGAGTTTTACCCATAGGTCTTAGCTTTGCCCCAAGAACCTGGCCAGGACAACTATATTTCTTCCTTGCCACGATGGCCCACCTATAATCTGAGGACAGCTCTTACCACTTCTGCTCATCTCCTCTGTCTCAGACTAGCCCTCTAGATCCTCCCTCTCATTGTCTTCTGACCCTGGCTCAATGTTGCTCACTTTCTGGCCGGCTTCTCCCCTTGGAGACCTTGACTATGGGCTGCCCCTGCAGGAGGATGAGGAGACGGCACAGGAGGGCCCACCGAGGGTCTTGCCCCCAGGTTCATCCCTTCCTTCCCTGGCACTCCAGATCATCTTGGGGTCTCCCATGTGTTTCTGAGATCACGAGCTTGAACAGCACTCTGTGAGGCCCCATCCCAATCAACCACCCTCCCTGGAGGTGGAGGAGCGATGGGAAACTCCCCTTACCAAACAAACAGAAGTCTCTGGCATCAGAGAAGTCTCTGGTGGCAGCAGTGCTGATGTGGGCAACATCGAAGTTCCTGAAGGACGGGTCAACAACTACTACAGAGGGGGCCAGGGACTGCCATGATCCCAGAGCGACTAGGAGAGAGAGCAGGGGACATCAGTCACACACAGCTTTCACCTGTTTTGATGATGAAGATAATGGGTGTCACCTCGTGCCCCGAAAAAGCAGCCCCAGGCCATCCTCCTTGTGGCCTCCATTCTCATGAGACCCCATTCCTTGATTTATACTCCCATTCTACAGTGATTTATTCAGAGTTTTTTATGAGCCAAGTTCTGTGCTCAAGCCTATGGATACGAAGGTTCAAAAAAAAGCATGGCTATTTCTACTAAGCAGGTCACGGTAGAATGGGAGAGAAGTAAACAAGGTAAGGCGAGCATCATAATACAGGTGTTACAATGCAATCATCAGAATGAAGCTAAGTGACAGCGATAATTGCAGATGTATCCGTGTTGTCGTGTGGTGCTGTGTGTAGGGCTTCCCAGACACCACGTCACCAAATCCTCCCCCAGCCCTCCGATGGAGAAAAGATCATTGTCCTCCACAGCGGATGCTGTGGTGTGCTGTCTAGGCCGCCTTTCAGGTCCCAGCCTCTCAGTTCCCCAGTGTTGGGAAGTTGCTGTTTGGAGGCTCCCAGCCTAGTCCCCTCCAGGAACTGCCTATGGTCGAGGCAAGCTGCTTCCCCTCCCAGGGTCAGCCTGTGGCTAAACACTAGTCCATATGGGTATGCAAAGGCCCAGCCACCTGCCTCAAGATGGGACAACCCTGCAGAGCCAGCCCAGCTTCAGAGCTCACCATGGGATCCACAGGGCCAGGGGGTTTGGTTGGCGTGGAAGTTCTACTTCTCCCCCTGCTCATTCCCGCCCCCTCACTTCCTTACAGGGGCCGCTCCCACGAGCCCTGCACCTGAAACTTCCTGCATGCAAATCTCCATCACTGCGTTTGTTTCCTGGAAAACAGCAGCTAAGAAGACGAACGAAATGAAGCTTGCCCCAGAGAGTGCCATTCTTCGGGGGCGGAGCAGGAGTGAAACTGGGTCTTTGCATGCACAGAGCCTGTGCCCTCCTGGCTCCATGGGGCTGCCTCCCACCATCTGCACATCTGTTCCACAGACAGGGAGGGATGTCCAGGTGCAGCTGCCAGACAGATGGCTTGGCGCAGGTACAGAGTCCTGCCAGAGCACCGGTGTCCCTGTGAGGACAGAGGGAACCCTGAACAGGGACCTTGATCTTCCCCTCTGAGGGAGGACTGCAGGTCTGGGTGGATGGGTGCATTCTTCTGGCCACAAAGAGCATGGAAGGCAGCAAAATGCTGCCTCCTGACATAGAATCTCCTGATTCTAGCACTCTCGAGATCTGTTCAGTGAGAGCGTCATTTAGAGTTCATGGAGATAAATCTAGGTACTTATTTACTTTTTCTTTCTGTTTTTGATTTTTTTCAGAAGACCACAGGAGTGTATCCTTATAATAAATATTTGTGAGCATTTCCTTCGTGTCTGGCAGAACAGCATGGCAAACATAGATGTAGATGTGGCACTTTGCAGTTGACAAAGTGCTCCACTTATCAGCTAAGCGCTTGAAGGTTGTTACTCCACTGTCTCAGGGTCCTCCTCTGCAAACTGTCCTGACGGCTGATCCCCACAAGGGAGCTCCGAGCTCCAGATGAGTGGTAGGGTAGGAGCCGTACCTAAGTCCTCCCTCACAAAGGAGGGGTCAGAAGCTGGGAGAGGTTCCATGGCTTTCCAAGAACACAGAGCTGACTATGACCAAGCCGGAGACAGAACCAGCCCTCTTGGCAACAAGCCAGCGCTCCTTCCATCCCTTCTGAGCTTCCTAAATACCTGAGCACCCTTTCTGGAAAATTCTCCCCAGGTAGGAAAGGGTCTTTGTCTTGGACAGGGCCATGCTCTTAGCTATATGGGGAAGGCTGTCATTTTTATCTCAAACCTGCCTTTGACGCCCAGAGCACTAAAATTAGAATGGTAAATAAAGTAGCAAACAAACTAGCACCGCGCCTTTTTCTTCTTCATTTAAAAAAAGAAGAAGAAGAAGGAGAAGAAGGAGAAGGAGAAGAAAGAAAGGTGCCTGGCTGGCTTAGTCGGTTAAGCGTCTGCCTTCAGCTCAGGTCATGATCCTGGGGTCCTGGGATGGAGCCCCACGTTGGGCTCCCTGCAGCTCCCCCTGCTTATGCACTCTCTCACTCTCTCTGTCAAATGAATAAATAAAATCTTTTTAAAATAAAAAATATTAAAAAAAGAAAGAAACAAGAAAGAAAAAAAGGGTTTATCCAAAGAAGGTGCCAAATAATGTTGCCAGACTTCTGATGGACTCAGCCAGAGAAGGAGAACCCCCATACTTGTCCTGGAACTGTGGGGCCATGCTCAGAATCTGGAGCCACGTCTTTCTGACCTCGGGTTCTGGCTTCCCCACAACAGACGCTGGGCTTTCATTATCTTAAGCATCCTCCACGTGTTACTATTTTCATGGTCAGTTCAATTGGCATTTCTGCAGCATGACGAAACTGAGCTGCATATTTTTAGATAGTGGGGACACTGCAATTTCACAGAAGACATACAATGGGGTTTTAGGACCTAAGTTGCCAATTATGGTCTTAAAATGGAAGCCTTGGCCGCACTCCGTGCTTAGCTTGATGTCTGGGGGAAAGCGCTATAATTGAAGGGTGCACTTCGTCTCCAAAGTGAGAGTCGGCTCGTCTGTCGCCATCCCAGGGCCTGGAGCCAAGTCTCTGCCACACCCTTTCCCTGTCCCCTTCCCCCAGCTGGCAGGGACCCTGGGACGAGCCATGGCTGGTGTGCAGAATCCAACATCTGGGGTTCATGCATCTCATGCAAATTCTGAGAACAAGTTCTTTGTGAATGTAAAACCCTGGTAAAGCATGAAAGCTAGACATCTCAGTAGCATTTCATGGGAGTTTACGATTTGCCAAGAGACGGGCAACACCATTGCATTTAACATTCACAGGATCCAGGAACACCCCCGAAGGGCTTAGCTGCTATGAGGCTGGGCCTGGGCTTGAGCCCAGCTCCTCCGGGTTCAGAAACCAGGCTTTACTACAAGGCCAGCTCTCCTCTCCTGATGAGCACTGTGGTAGCAGCTTTCAGGCCTGCCCAGTGGGTGCCCTCTGTGCCATATTCTTTAGTGTTCATTTGGTTTCTTTTGTTTAAAATATACTTTATAGATTGCAATGCCAGCATCATTTACTTAAAAAAAAATCATCTCCCCTTGAATTTGAAATGCTATGTTCATCATATAGTAAGTACTTTTATATAAATGAATTTTGTCAACCTTGTGTTTTTCTTTTT